GGGTCAGCAGCCGCGCAGCTACAGAGCAACCCGCCTGCCCCAGGGGAGCGCCCTGGGAAGGGTGAGTGCGGCACGGGCCACCCGGCGAAGCCGCGCAAACGCCGTAGTAGTGCCGGGGTGACACTCCGCCCACTGGACCGCCCCTCCAGGGCTTCTTAGTAGGTCTAGAGTCTTGGAACAAGAGTGCGCCCTCTCCGTGCTGAGTGGCTGCGTGAGAAGTGGGCGCCGCTACCGCTGTGAGAAGCCTGTACTGGGCGACCGCAGTGTTGGTCAGGCAAGGGCGGGCAATGAACGCATTTGGTGGCGGTGGATTTAGCTGGAGAATGAGAAGTGTGTGTCCACTGCCGCTCCTTCTGCCCCAGAAGCCAATAGAGAACATCGATGAAACTGTGACTAGTCCAAAGTGTATGTGAACTTGTTAGAAATGCAAATTCCGCGCAACCACTTCAACCCCACCCCCTAACCCCCTACCCCTTTGGCCTCCCCTGGCCCCCAATCCGAAGAAATCAAAAACAGTGGGTGCTGGAACAGGGCCCATCAATAGCATTCCTGTTGGAAGCATGGTCAGATTTGCCTAAATGGTCTTGTGGGCACTGGGGTGGAGATCCCTCTCCTAGTGCAGACAAGGCAGCCAGCCTCAGAAATATCAGCCCACTCTGGGGCCCAAAATAATTCAACCAAGGTCCCTAAACTGCCAAACTTCACCCCATCTCTTCCTAACTACCCCTCCCCTCCCCCAAATAAAAGCAAACAAAAAAGTTTGGGGTAGTGTAAAAAAATTACAAATGCATGTCTTTCCAAGGTCCTAAGCAGGGCAGAGACTCTTGATAAAATGAGTCTGAGAACAATGGGCCTTAAAAAAGACATCTCTGAGGTTCCTCTTGAGATCCTATATTTTGATAAGGCATCCAAAGGCCTGCCTGAACATTTCTCCTCCAGCTCCCCAAATTTCTTAATAAAATGGAGACTGGATCAATCTCCACACAAAATGTGAAGTCTTTGCCAGGACTCACAGTACTTCGGCGCTTAGGCAAGGCAGGCTCCTAACCTGAGCTAGTTGTTCCGCTTCCATTACTTTAGGCATCCACCATTGCAACTTGGTCTGCTGTCATCCAAATGCCTGGCAGGTTGTCTCTATTCTCAACCTCTGCCTGGAACAATGTGCCACAGGAGGATCTTCCTCCTTCCCACACTATCTTGAGCTAGTATCAACCCCCCTCTTCCTTCATTTTTGTTCTGAGCATTTATCACTCTGTGTGTATGCACTTATTATATGAACATATGTGTTTATATAAAATATTTTTATCTTTGCAAATGTTTATTCTAAGAGTATGCGTTTGTATTTGTATACAGTATATTGCTTACATGTGAATGTAGATACAGATTTCACTTATATAAATATATAAACAATGTTGGTATTTTACATCAATGTGTAAATACACATAAAATTCAACATACATTCTGTCATCATCTTTGTCATGGGATGCAGAATTTGGTCATTTGCTGGCTTTTTCACCTGTGAACTCCTGGCATCTAGGACAATGCCTGCTAGGGTGGAGATGGTGCTCATTAAATAAAGAGTACATAGAGTGAATTAATTTATACAACTCTTCCTACTTCTAGGCTTCAGTGTCAAGGCCCTTTCCAGGTCTGGGAGCACTTCCTCACTCTGGACATCATATGAGAATAGTCCACCTGAGAGAGTCAGTGGACATGGAGATCAGAAATTGAGAACATAACAAAGTAGGGACCCACTGAGGACCCCACAGGAGAAAGCTCAGCAGTAGGTTATGACATAGGCAGCAGAAGGAGTTTGAGTAAGAGGTGGAAGAAGAAACTTAACCTACTTAACCTAGTGTTTCCAGTAGAACGGGAGAACCATAGCAGAATTCAGAGGAGGCAGTTATTGAAATTTCTCACAGAAACAATGTCAAAAGAAAATGATTAGGAGGCATTTTACCACCTCCAGGCCAAGGTTCAAGTTGCTCTCTTAGGAAGAAGTCCAGGAAGGACACCAAGCAGGAACAATCTGATCCCAAGAAGGCCACTAGCAATTCCAAACCTAAAACCTCAGACACTGCTGTCTAAGTAGAGTTGTCACAGTGATGCAGGAGGCAACTTGCCCACACAGGGGGAAGCTGAGTCCCCAAGGTTCTCAGTAGTCTAAATGGCCTAAAGGACATAAAGTAGGTAGAGGACAGGTTACTGTCTCTGGGTTCTCAACTGTATGTACAATTGCAAGACTGATCAGGCTCAGGGAACACAACAATGGGGTTTATTTAACAGCAGGGGAAAAAAGAGTTTCTAAGGCCACAAGTGGCTGGCTATCTCACCCCATATACTGTCCACAGTGCACAGAGGCCTAAAGAAGTGGCTGCTCATTCAAGATGGCATTGTCGCATCACTGAGGGGCTGGAGTTCATGGCACACTGGCAAGCAGAAGAACAGGATCCAACTCATGGTAGCACCTGTGGGTACTTGAAAGTAGGGCCACTGAGATAACACCACAACAGCTGACAGCAACAGTCTGAAGGTAGGGATGAACAGCATTGGACACTGGAACAAACAGCAATGAAGAAAACGGCACCATCCAGTGGACAGCTCTTAGAGGTGACCTGGCCATGGAGTGCCAATTACCTATCAACAGTGCTGGTAAGTCATACTAGTCTCTACTAGTCACCAGGACACTTGTATATACACTATCTTAACAGCTCTTTGCTGGCCTATAACAATAATAAACAGCTACTTAAGGCACCTGGTCCAGGTGAAGATGTTAGTATTTGACACCCAGTTAAGGTAAAATTGTCTCCAAATTTAAACTGGAAAGTCACAGAATACCTGTTTAGAAAAAAAAATCACTCTGTTAGACTTTTGCTATTTAAAGAATTGTTCAGTTTGAAATTTCTGTGTACCAATCCTCAAAACAACCGATAAAATTTTATGAGACATTTTTTGTGCTTCAGCATGCACACACAAAAAGGTGAACTCTCTATTCTGCCATGGAATGAAACTTTGCTCAGACAGGATTATGACAGAGCTGTAGAGATCAAAGGACAATAAGTAAGTGGAGAACAGGTCACTGTGGGTTCTCATCTATATGTACAATTGCAAAACTGCTCAGGCTTAGGGAACAATGGGATTTATTTGCAACAAGGAAAACAGAGTTTCTTAGGCCACAAGTAACAGGTATCTTACCCCAGATAGTGTCTACAGTGTCCAGAAGTTCCATACAAGAAGCTGCTCATTCAAGATAGTGCTGTCACATCACTAAGGCCTGAATTTCATGGTGCATCAGCAAGCTGAAGGCCAGGACCCAGCTCACAGTGGCAGCTGGAAGTACTCCTAATGGGGTGCCTGACATGACACCACAATAGCAAGTCTGAAGGTAAGGATGGACAGCATTGAACACTGGACCAGAAAGCAATGGAGAAAATAGCACTAGTAAGGAGTGCCTAAGGATCAAAAGCAGTGGACAGAACTCAGAGATGGCCTGGGCTCAGCATGCCATCACCCATCAACAGTGCCAGTCATTATCAGTCACCAGGAGATGATCACAGAGATACCAATGTTAACTGCAGCTTGTGAGATACTGGCCTACACCAAAACAAACAGCTCTTTGACCTGCCAAACCTAAGGTCTTTGATGCTCCTTTCAGGCAATGTCAGAGGCAGGGCCTTAGGCAGCTGCCTCTGCCTGGTCTCTGCAAAGCCCTTGAGCTTCTCTTTTTTCTTTGGAGGTCAGTTGCTAGAGGCTGTTAGTCCTTATTCTCTTTCAGCGGTCAGGATCAGAGAGCCTAAGCTGACTCCTGCCCTGCCTTAAGTGATGTGACAGCATCGGCCTTATATCCCTTCACTCTACCTGCCTGATAGGACCATTTTCAATTCTAAGTGATCTATTGGACCACTTTAGGACCAATCAGCCCATCCTTGATTTTCAGTCCAAATAATTAAGTAATGAGTGATTGAAAGGATTGGTTCATTTGGCTGACAACTGATTAGTCTATTCTATGACCCAGATGCAAAATATAAAAAGGAAAACTCAATGCTTGCACAGACCCAATTTGCCCAGGGAAAGCCCAATGACTTTAAAATTTTGTCGTATTTTTTGCTTTACCAACTAATTTTTTTTTTGATCATTAAATATGGAAGGTTACATTGATATGTTACTTTTAGACTAACAATACATTGCTGGGATAAATCCCATTTGGTCATATTTTCTTATTGTTTTTGTACAGTTTTTAAGTTTTGTTGTGTTATAAAAAGAATGTCTGGTTTTGTTACCATGGAAAGTATGGCCTTATATGGGTAGAAAGTTGTATTTTCTGAGAGAAATTGTATAGATTTGATGTTATGTCGCTAAATGTTTTGTAGAATTTGCCATTAAGGCCACTGGGGCCTAGAGTTTTGGTTTTGGAAAGAACTCAGTTTTGGTATAGATATAAAATTACTGTAGATACTTATTTCTTCTTTAGTGAATTTAGAAAGGTATGACTTCACTTGTTAAGTCTATAGTGATATACTTTTATCTATAACACTAATCATCTGTGTTATTTTACCTTTTCAGTTTGACTGGACCAAGTTTATTGATCTCTTTAAAAAACAATAGTTTTGCATTTCATTTATCCTTGCTACCGTCTGGCTGTTTTCTATTTTATTTATTTATTTTTATCAATTAATTAATATATATTTTACATCATTGCTCTTTTTATTTCTTTTACAGAGTTTGATTTCTCAGGTGTAGTTCCCCTAAAATTCCCACCACCAATTCACCCATGAACTATC